TCAGTACCTAAACTCCTGCACCTTCACCTTAGTGTCTGGCTTCACAGAGCTGAAATCAAAAACCTTCATTTTGAACAAACTGCGAGCATTTATCGCCACTTTTCGCCTCTCCAGCAGACGATTCCACCGACTGCAGCTCTGAGCTGCGTGTCTTTGGCCTCTGAGATGGAAAACATCAGGTGGTAACTGACACACAGACCGACTGCTGCCAGCTGGCACCATCCAACCTCCCACCGCCACACTGTCAGGCAACAGCGAAAACCACTGAACCATGTTTTGACTTGGTCTTCAGACGCCTGGTCACTTTACACTGGTAACACTGGTAACACTGGTAACACTGGTAACACTGGTAACACTGTTCTTTTTCTCACAGATTATGGTCTGGAGCAGAATTCTAATCATTTATTCTGTTGTTTCCTCAGTTTTTAACTCTTCACCACAGCTAAATCAGTAACATAGGACTTGACTGTAGTGCAGGCGTTTCAACACTAGTGGTGCTGTTGGTCCACGAGGAGCCAGGTATGTTCACACGTAACCAACTGTCCACCAAACGTTTGGTTCCATGCCCCTCCCCTCAGTCACTGACCGAGTCCGTCTGTGATTTACCGTCACTTTTCATTGATTTTCTGTCTGTGACTGTTTTACTGCTGAACGTTTTTACTGCAGTTATTGATCTAAACAAGAACGACTCTCCATCTCATGTGAAGTCAGGATGGCGTGACGTTGGCTGAAAGTGTAGAAGCTAAATGGAACGTGGCCATCCTTCACTTGATTATTGACATGTGCTTTTATTTGTGCGCCGTGTCAAAGTGTCTGCCGTGAAAAATGATGTCGTCTGAAAGTTAGCAGGGAGCAAAAAACACACAAATCAACGAGATAAAATCTCTCATCTATCGCTGTCTCTTCAACATGTCGTTCACCTTGAACAGAGAAAACGGTTAAAAAAAATCAGACCCTCGACCCTCGAGTTGTAACCACCCCCGCTCTACGTAGTTCAGTTTGGAGAAAGTTAAAGAATGTTGTGTCAGTGTAGTGTTTGGTAAAGGTTGCATAAAATGAACCTTTAACTATGTGTATGTAAAACTTTAATACTTTTTTTTATTGTAGAATTCCATGTAAAAACTGTAAAATGACTTGAACAATAAAACCTCCAGTATTTGACAGTATGACGTGTTTGCAGTAAGTGGTGACGGTGACACGGGTTATAAATGGCTGTGCGTCTGCCGCTCTGTTGTCCGCTGTCACTCACCACGTCGTAGTGGCCATGCTGTGCTGACAGGTGGAGAGGAATCTGTCCTTCATCTGATTGGCCGTTGACAGACGAACCTGATTTCAGCAACATCTTCATAGGCTCCGCCCTCCCCTGCCAGGCTGCGTAATGCAGAGGCCGCATACCTGCACAAAGGAAAACAGGTACAATCTGCTGCTCAAAGTACTAAATACTTCTACAATGACTGAGGCCATTTATTTGAAATACTATGAGTTTTTGTTTGTTAAAGTATCCTGAAAAGTATAGCTTTAAATCCTAGGTCCTGGAAGGGTGACATTGGATGGAGGGGGGTGGGGGGGCAGGGGTCCAGGAGGTGTAGCAAGTATTGGCTGCAGATTTCCAGCTGTTGTAAGATGTTTCCAGATTTGGATTTTCCAGTCTCCCCAGACCAGTTTAATGTCGGATATGAAGAGAATTACAAAGAAATACATAATAAAGCAGGTTTCAGTGTAGTCTGGACTGAGGAGGAAACACAACCTCTTCTCTACTTCTTCTCATGAAGCGCTCTCTTTGTACTTATCTTGTGTGTTTTTTTTTTGTGCTTTTTTGCAGCAAAGGATCTTCGCATATAAAACATTAGACGACTTGTTGCCACACCTAAGGTGCAGCCATCCAAGATCTTCCAAGGACATCAAAGGATGTGAACCAGTGAAGATCTCACGAGGATTGTCCTTCTCACCTTTCTGGTCTCTGATGTCCACCGCAGCCTGTGACTCCAGCAGAATGGAGATGAGCTCCAGGTTGCCATTGAGAGCAGCGTGATGCAGCGGAGAAAACCTGAAAAACACATTGACAACACACGTGAATCCTGAGGCTTTACAGCAGGCTTTACATTTAGAGAACTTTTTTATAGAATTATTTGATAAAACTTTTTATAAAAAATATTTTTAAAAAATTAATATTTTCCTGCATGTTTCTCATAAAATTAAGGCATTTAGAAAACATTTTTAAAATGTTTTTTTCTAAAAAAAATTTCTGTCAAAATGTGAAGTTTTTGTGTCATTTTGGTCAAAAACTAAAAAATTTGGACTTTTTTTGTAATTTTTTTTTTTAAATGTCATTTGTTTCTGCATATTTTTCATAAAATTAGGACATTCAGAGTACATTTCTAGAAAATTTTTTGTATAAAAGTTTCTGTCAAAATGTGAAGTTTTTCGTATCATTTCCGGTCAAAAACTAAAATATTTTGACGAAAATATTTGTAAAATTATTTTTTTAATTACATCTTTTCCTACATGTCTCTCATAACTAGGGCATTTAGAGAACATTTTAAGAAATTTTTTTTTATAAAATGTTTTGTAAAAATGTTAAGTTTTCGTGTCATTTTAGGTCAAAAACTAAACAATTTTGACGAAAACGTTTGTAAAATTATTTATTTTAATTTTATATTTGTCTGCATGTTTCTCATAAAATTAGGGCATTTAAAGAACATTAGAATTTTTTATCTATAAAAGTTTCTGTCAAAATTTGAACTTTTCGGGTCAATTTTTGTCAAAAACTAAAAGATTTTGACGAACATTTTGGTAAAACTATTTTTTAAAATTACATCTTTTGCTGCATGTTTCTCATAAAATAAGGGCATTTAGAAAATATTTTTATAAAATTATTTCTATAAAAGTTTCTGTCAAAATTTTCGTGTCATTTCCGGACAAAAACAAAGAAGTTTTGAACATAAAATAATCACTTGGCAGCATG